ATAAAAAAGGCAATAATTCACTTCACTCAAAATCTTGTCTACTAAGTAATGAAGCACGAGATAATCTCAGCCTAACATGCATTTTTTTAGCCATGTCAGCTGAAATATTTTTTTACCATATGACTGGGCTACTAGTATTTATAGTTACACATTTTGTGGTCGGCTTTAACATATGCTGAAAGCACAAACTTGTACAAGGCACACCCACCAAAGTAAAAAAAATGACATTTTTTTCTTCCACCTCTTCCTCGCATCGTAATCTAAGCAACCGACAATATAATCCCCAACATGTAGCCCCACGTGGAGCGGTGCCGATGTCCATCCCTCATAGTGTCGTCTTGCACGTGTTGGCTGCCTCTGCACGCTACCACGAGAACGATCCACTAGGGGATCCAAACCGAGATGTCATGAGCTATCACGAGACAAAGGCGGACACATGGGTTCTCCACTCTTCTAGGAGTTCGATGGAACAGGAGACAGTTAAATACACCACGGGAGTCTCAACTTGTTCGGTGTGGTCACTTTGGTACCTAGACTTATAAAATACACGGAATAGAGCAATCAAATATGGTGCCTTCGTCCTTATGCACTGCCTATGTGGCGCGCCAACGTGTCATAGACCCTTATGTCAGCAGCTGTGAGTAGAGAGTGAGCCATGCATGATTTTTTTAAAACCCTTATGATTTATTTAATCACATAGGAAAGCCCCTCTAATTAAAAACATGGTCCCACATGTCAGTACGGCAGAGAGAAATAACCGTAAAATAGATTCCATGTGATGGATTTCAAACCTTGGACTTCCTGGTTCACTGCCACATGAGTTGGCCACTCGGCTGAATTAAGCCCTGTGGCCAATTATAATCTAGAAATCTATATAGATCTACTCCATGTATCATTTTGCAACTCCCTACTACGTCTTTCACCTTTTTTTCAGGTTCCTATTTAGTTTTCATGATACATAAAATTCCCTATACAAAATATAGTAATTATCAAAATGTAATTATTGCATATTTTAGATCTTTATTCTATTTTTATTATTGTGTACTTTGAAGAGGTAAATGCATATTAAAAATTATTTTCTAAATTCATTTATCTTCATTCAGGACCAAAACCATGCAAAATTATTGTGTATCTTTATTGTATTTCCTAACTTCACAATTACTGAAAAATATATACCGTTTTATTTTGGAAACTATTGAACTTGTATTTAATTACTGTAGTATTGTGTGACAATAATAAAATTAGAATTGTATTCCCGCAAAAAAAACTACAAATGTGTTAGAACATTTTGAATGTGTTTGTATAAATGCAAGAATAATTTTACACAATAACTTTGTAATACATGTTGAACATTTTGACCATTATTTGAAATACATGTTGTCATTTTTTTTAGTGCATGACTAACATTTTCCAAAAACAGATTTACAAAAAAAAATGCCCATGAAACCTTTTCCAAAATAAATGTTGACCTGTTTTTTGAATTGCACTAACACTTTATTTAAGTTTTATGGTAGTTGTATTTTTTTTCTTACATTTCATTTTCACATGGGAAAAAATCAAAAAGAAAAATAAACATGGACATGAACTTGGAAAAAATAAAAATAAAACTTGTGCAGCCCCATAGGAGCGCCATATATAAAAATATCGCTTGAGCAGGTACATAGGACGTGATTTACTACTAAGTACCTGAGCAAACAACACATGCAATCCTTGGTGAGATTGGATAATAGCATGGTGGTTGACGCCCTGAAGCACAATGAAGGTCATTCCGTGGTGTTGGCTCCTATTATTGATGCTTGTCGTTTTATTTTGGCCGAGTTCGAAAAGGTTACTATTGAGTATTGCAATATGGAGTCTAATGTAGTTGCTCATGAGCTAGCAAATTAGGGGCGTGTTAATCCTCTTCTGTACGGGCGGATGAGCCCCCCAGCTTCATTGTTAAACTTTTATTAGACGATGTATATGTTATTTGAGTTTAATAAAGCTAGCCTGAAGGCCTCCCCGTAAAAAAAAGTAAGTTTGGCCTGGTGGACAGCTTGTGTTTTTTTTGGAGCCATGGACGTCCTGTTGAGACACGTGCTTCTAAATAGAGGGGCTTTCCTATGTAATTAAATAATACATGGGAGTTCTGTATGTAATTAATAAGCTTGGGGTTTTCAACAAAGAACCATCACGCGCGAGCCATCATAGTTTCCTTTTTTTTGCAGGATTAATTAAAGTCCAGGGAGTATTCTAAAAAACATCATGCATAACAGACGTCCGTTATTTGAATTCTAATAAAGCTATAAGAGATGTGAACATATTGTTTTCATAACCTATAAGAAATGTTCATAATAATAATAATTTCTCTTTCTATATAACTATTTATTTGTGAGAAAAATGTCCACATCTGGCCACAATATTGTTCCACTACTGAAAAAATGTCTCATTGCTCAAAATAAATGTTCACATTATTTATTTGCATATTTTCATAATAAATATTAACCTTTTGTCGAGAAAAAATTCACTATACAAAATTAGAAAATCTTCACACAATTATTTTCTATGGAAATAAATCGCCAATTGTAGTTTTTGTTAATTAAAAAAGGCACACATACATTTAAATTAACAAAGACAGACGAGTCATGATACACACGTTGAGTGATTAATTCCGTTATGCCAACTCTTCTCTGGACCACTCTCTGCCTTTGTCCCTGCCATCCTCTCTTTCGTCACATCAATTCTCTAATTTTTCCCAGGGGAGGTTTCCTACTGTCCCCTCCCTATAGCCCGAAAGTAAATAACACCGTGCAACCATCATCGCTGACCAGGCCGGTCACCACTGACGGGTCTCACGTTTGTCCCAGCAATGAGGACTTCACCATTTTGTAACCGTCGCCATTGAAAGGTGCCCGGCGGAGCGCCGATGGGTGGTGAACTACATCAGTAACCGACACCCCTAGGTCTATAAGTGATGACCTGTAGTTTTTTGTACTAGTGTTGGTCAGCGACTGAGTCCAATGATGGTGACGCTTGCATGTGTCCTAATTCTCCTTGGAGATGTCGTTGATGTCTTCTTCCCACCTTGAACCAGGGCTAAAACCCAGTGTCTGATTCATCGGTCTGGATGGTGGGACATCATACTTCGTTTGTTTTACACAACCCTGGTACCCTACTAGTGTTTTGTCGCATGGCTAGCAGACTGGTAGCAGGTGTTGTTTCCGGGGATGACATTGAACACAACTTACCAGCTTGAAATTCTCCAACATAGGCTCATCTTGTGCAAGATTTGATAGTTGCAGCCTATGGATTTTGTTCATGATACATGTAACTTGTGGCTTTTCTTGGTGTATTTGGAGTGATTTTTATTTTATCTTTTTGGTTGGATGCATCCACATAGGACCAACATTATTTTATTTTTTTGGTTGGATGCATCCACAGGGACCGAGGTGTGATAAAGCTTCCATTTTCTTGAAACAAAATTCTACTAATGTCAATCATGGGTGGATGCATACAAGCCATTGTTAAGTGTAGATATCTTCATCATGCAAGTTGAGGTAAAAGTAAGCATGGCATCTCTGGCCCGTACTCACCTAGCCAAGATAGCTATTTCCTTAGATGGCAAGTGAGATATTGGCTCACAGATTCTCCTGAACTAGGCAACACACTAGCGAAGGTTCCCTGAAATATTATGCCTTGCCATTTAGCATCTTTGTGTCTTGGGGCTCAGCGTCTATGTTGCTCCTTGAGAACGATAGTGTGATCACCTGCCTGCTTTCTATCACCCTTATTTGCGAATCATACTCGTGAGAATCAATCTCTTTGAATCCCCGTTCCATCCTAGTCAAGGAAGTAACTAGCACACCATGCATCCTCAAGAGTGCACGAGGAGTGTGGTGCATGAGACTGCCGGAGCATGAAGGCACAATGCTCCATGAAGAGAGTATGCTGAGGGAAATTAGCTGATGCGGCGGCGTAGGAGGTAGATGCATGGAGCTGATTTCAACTAATGCGTGCAAGTTGTAATTATACCGATCAATCCATAATTCTTGATGTCTCCTATGCCTATGCAACCATGCAAATCATAACCCTAGTGTGCGAACTGCAGAGACATAACACAATCGGATTGGACAATTAAAGACATAGAAGTATAAATTATTGATCATTTGCTTAGACAAGTCTTGCTCCTTATATAAGACATGGGTGGTAGGCATTGCCGCATTGACATGAATGCATTCATCCTTTAGTAGATGAATAGCTAAGAGCAATTCATTCGTCCTTTAGTAGGTGAATAGCTAAGAGAACCTTGGTTATGAGCTTGGCCCATGTAATCATGAGAATCGATCCTGTTAAGGGAGCACCCAATGAATTGGCTGAAAATAAAAAAAAATACTGTTGACTTCTTCTAAACCATTGAATTGCCCCCGGCAAGATTTCTCGTAGTCCTCTTCTCGAACTCGGGCAGTTTCCAATCTCAAACTCGGCTAGTGCTAATATTTGTTTCTCTTTGCTCAAATAAATGTTTATCATCTTTTTTTCCTTTTTCATAGTGACTGCTTGTTTCTTGGTAAACAATTGTTGGCTGCTGGTTACAAAATTGTTCTACCATACTACAAAAATGTTCCATTAATTTGTTTGAAACAAATTGTTCACTCTTTATTTTCTCAAGGCGCACATGTACGTACAAATCCGCAGAAAAAGAGAAGACCAACGTGCACGTGAGCTAGTACAAGCTTCGACCCATCCTCAGGGCGTGGTTTCACGCCGCCGCCCCTTGGTCTTTCCCCTCTTCACCAGTACTTGTACCGCCACCTTTTTTTTTTATAGAAAAAACCGCCACCTGTACAGCTTGTTGCGCGGCACGGCCCATCTCCTGGCCCGTCAGAGGCAGAGCCCGCCATCATCAGCACTCTGTTCCGCTCCGCGCCCTAACGCGCGGCCCCTCCCTTCCCTCCTCCCCCCTAGCGCCGCTCCTCCTCGCCGGCGGCGACTCCTCCCCCGTCTCTCTGGTTCGGCGGCCGATGGTGGCCATGAAGACGAAGGGGCAGGAGGACGAGGCGCCCGAGGAGCGCGTGCCGCACCTGCCGTGGATGCGGCACCCCGTCGACATCGACTCCTTCTCCGGCTGCCCCGTCACGAGCCTCCCCCGCCTCGACCCCAGGTAGTACCACACCATACCCCATGCCTGTGCCGTGCAGTATTTTGTGCTCAGTTACGGCCTGCTGAATCTGTAATGCCGGAGTCTTCAATTTGATAAGGATGGCGCTGTTGCGCTTCACTGGATAGCTTCTTGTGCTGCTACTAGAAGTTCTATGCTATTAGCATTGGCTGCACTAATTTTGTTCAATGTCATGTGCACTACTAGTTTCACTTGCTTTACATGTTCGATTTGGTCTACTTTGTTTAGCTGCTTATTAACTTTGTGCCCTTTTAACTCTGCAAACGTCTTAGAAAATACTAGTAGCATGCAACTGAGGGCTATGTTTACTGTTACACAGATTGGCAGAAGCGTTGCAGCGGATGGGAATCGAATCTTTTTTCCCGGTTCAGGTTTCGACATGGCTGGAAACAATTGGCCCTGGTGCTTTTCAGAGGGATATCTGTATTAACTCCCCGACCGGGTCCGGCAAAACTCTTGCTTATGCCTTGCCTATTGTGCAAATGCTCTCCACTCGGAAAGTAAGGTGCTTGCGTGCTTTGGTTGTGCTGCCTACACGGGATTTAGCATTGCAGGTTTGTGATATTTATTTTACCTTCTAGATAAAACTTGTGTACACTAGTCTATACTGTCAATATCTTATTCCAGCAATTTATCCATAGGAAAACTGATGCATGCTGTTCTATATCGTCAGTAGCTATTCCAGCAATTTATACATTTAATATTATTCAGTTCATCATGACAAAATGGAAGTGTCTTTTGTTTGTTTGTTCCACTTCAGGTTAAAGAGGTTTTTGATGTTATTGCTCCTGTGGTGGGCTTGACAGTAGCATCAGCAGTTGGTCAGTCCTCCATTGCGGATGAAATCTCAAATCTGATCAAGAAGTCCAAACAAGAGCTTTACCCATCGCTTGATGATGAATATGTCGAAATGGAACCACAGACTAAAGTTGATATATTGGTGGCAACTCCTGGAAGATTGATGGATCATATCAACATGACTAAAGGTTTTAGTCTGGAGCATCTTCAATACCTGGTAGGCTTTTTGGCAACAGTCTCTGTTTCCTCTTTCATCTCCAAAATTCTCCATACAATGGATGGCTGAGTTCATATATGATGTGTTGATAGTTCCTGTTATAAATATTTATAAGGTAGTATTGTTTGTGTGTGCATAGTGCCGCAGTACCATGTAATGTCAAACATTATGCTGGCAATGAGTTTGGACCAAAGTGTATACTCCCTCCGTCCCAAAATAAATGTCTCAAGCTTAGTACAATTTTGTACTAAAGCTAGTACAAAGTTGAGACACCTATTTTGGGACGGAGGTAGTATTACTTAATTTAGCTGGCCTGTATCCAAATAGCAGCAATAAATGATTATTTGGGGACATTTTTGGACGACAAACAATTTTCCAGATTCGCCTCTTCATTTAGACACTTGCTATATGGATGGCATTTGAAACCATGCGAGTGTTGCCTCTAGTTGCAACAAGTTTGGCATGCCCTTCTTGTGTTCTTTCCAACAAATTATTCAGTCAACAGGACCCGCTATCTGTACAACTTTTCTAGTATATGATGATACGAAACTTAGTCATGGCACTATAATTTTGCATCTTATTAGTATTGCGTACTTGCTTTTAATTTTTTCGAAACTTGCGGTTTCAGGTTGTTGATGAGACAGATAGGATGTTAAGGGAGGCATATCAGTCCTGGTTGCCAACAGTTATCCAGTTTACTCGCCCGACTAATCAAGATCATTTCCGGCATGACACTGCTGGACGAACTCTACTGCATCCATTGACCACCATCAGAAGATCGTAAGACTTGCTCTACCGAATCAATTGCTCATATTATTCTTGTCCTCTTTTATCACTTTATATTTCAGTTGAGGACTTAAATCTATGCCATGGCATTTAGGGGCGTCGAACGAGGATTTAAAGGTAAATGCTATCCAAGACTGGCAAAGATAGTCTGTTCTGCTACACTGACCCAAGACCCCAGCAAACTTTCTCAACTTGAGCTGCATCATCCTCTGCTGTTGAATAGTGGAAAGAAGCGTTACAGAATTCCTACAAAGCTGGAGTCCTACAAGCTGGTTTGGCAGTTTTTGCTGATTGTTACTCTTATCAATGCTGATGCCTGAAACACCCAAGGGGTGTAAAAGGCTATTGTGAACTGTGCCCTGCGTTCTCATTCTCCTTGCTGTTAATGCAGATTTGTACATCAAACATAAAGCCGCTGTGCCTCATTGTTCTTCTCCAAGAGCTGCGTGGGGAGAAGTGCTTGGTTTTTACCAAATCTGTAGATGATAGTCACAGACTAAGCACTTTACTGGGATTTTTTGATGACTTGCCCTTTAAGTTTAGTGAATTTTCAAGTTTGCAGCGTGAATCTACTCGAAGGTAATAACTCATGTTTATTTCCTGTTGTAAATCAGAGTTCATTTTCTTGCGTTGGTTGCAGACCGCCACAAAAATAAGTAACTACAAATAACCATCTCTGACTGACTATGCCTTATACAAGCTCCATGGATCATATTTGTTAGAGCATGTGTGCGCAAACATAAGAAAGTGGCATTACTTGCTAAGTTAGGTTATGTTGATGGCACTGATTACGAGTCGAAGGACTAGTCGAGACTAGTCGATGGACTAGTCCATGAGTCGCAACTGTGGTGTCGACTGCGAATCTCGTGTAGACTAATTCGATGAGTCGAGCGGTCGAGAGACTAGTCTACGACTAGTCTAGACTAGTCCTGCTGTCTGAGTCGCTCGACTCAAATTTGGGAGGGGAAAATTGGAGAGCGAGCTATGAGAACAAGCCGCCTGGACGAGGCCACCGCCAGCACCCACTGACCCGCCGTCGGGACGGCGGATGGCGAAGCAAGGCGCGGCAGCTGGCCGGAGCTCGTGCTCGGGCGGCGGCCATGGCCGTGCCCCGTAGGCGCGTGCGGCCCTGCCACAAAGAGAGGGGGAGAGAAAGAGAGGAGAAGAGAAGAGGCACGGCGGTGGTCGGTGGGCTCGCCGGCGGCGGTGGCTGGAGGCGCGGGTCGCGCGCGCGCGTGCTTTTGTGCGTGATGGCGCAGGCGGCGGCGACGGGATCGATCGGGAGCTAGGGTTACAGAGGCTGGGATGGGAAGTAGGCTAAGTAGGCTGGCTACTTGGGCCCAAATGGGCCAGCTGGGGGTGGCGTGCTGAGCGGCACTGGGCTAGGCCTGGCGAGCGTTGGCTAGCACTGCTGGTTTTATTGTATCTGTTGTAATGTGTTGTACAGTTTACTACTCCATACTGCTACTAGGTATTAGTAGTTGACTACTACAGTACTTTGTCGACTAGTCTAGCACTAGTCTAAGACTAGTCCGATTAGTCTATGAGTCTCAACCTCGGAACGACTCAACGACTCGTCGACTCGTAATCCTTGGTTGATGGTGGAATGATATTCTGACATGTTGAACTTAATCTCACCTTGTGATGTTAATAAAACTCTGCTGCAGGAAGACGTTGGCAGCCTTCAAGGAAGGGAAAATAGATGTTCTCATTGGCTCAGATATAATGGCTCGAGGAATACATATTGACGGTTTGAGATATGTTATCAACTATGAGATGCCGCAGTATGTGAAAACATACATCCACCGAGCAGGCCGAACTGCCAGGGCAGGCGAATCTGGTTCTTGCTTCACGTTTTTAAGGAAAAATGAGGTAATGCGCTGTTTAACAATAATAGTAGTTAGTATTTGGTACAATGCTTGCTGTGGTTGATTGATTAATACACCATGATATTGTACATGACATGTCTATATGTGTAAATAATATGCTGATCTCATCCCTGTATTGCTGGCTAATTTGATTGCTGGGGAACAAACAAATTGAGTGTTTTGATGATATAGAATTTGGTGTAGATAACTGTTACTATCGGGACTTCCTGATTTTGGTCAGGACTTATGGACGAACTAATGATGAACCACCTTGATATTTGTTTTGGAGTTAAACAGACGTGTCTGCTACCAGATGTATAAATTAATCTCAGCATATCTTCTCTAGTTACATGGGTTGCTGAGTCAAATGTCATGTAGGTTAAAAGATTTGCCAAGATGCTGAAGAAGGCAGATGGTTCTAGCTGCATCCTTCGCTCGCTACCCGAGGAATCAATAGATAGCCTTCGCCCAGTTTTTGAGACCGGTGAGATAACAGTCCTGTTTTAATCAGATTTCTATGTTGATTTGCCATCACCCACGCCTTCGATGTTCTTCATTGATTCTGATATTGTCTCTGTTTCCTTTTTCCTTGCTGGGCTGTTAAAAGCTCTGGAGAAACTGAAAGATAAATTGAAAGGGTCTGCCGAACCAGAAGCATCGAAGAAATCCAACAAGTCGGGAGATAAAGCGCCGGGAGCTTTGAAAAGAAAGAGAGGCAAGCAAACGTGAAGTGTGATAGATCACTCGGTGTTCTGAATTGTTTTCTGTAAACGTCTTAAATCCCCGTCTGGTACATATATTTGGGGAACTCTACCATCCGAAGACGTCACGTGTTTTTCCTCCTGTTTGCTTTTCTATACGCCTACTGATCAACACGGCGCGATTTGATGATGGACCGTATAGTTTAGTGGGTTTGGCTGATTTAGTCTGAACATTTGTCAGTAAACCTGAAAATTCTAGGTGCACGTCACAGTAAATTTTTATGTCTTTCCAACTGACGCCCACCTGCATTTCTGCAGAATTCATTAAGTTCCCCTTGTTCAAATGCTACAAGTCGATGCTGCTTCTCCTTGTTCATCAGAGTTGTCAGTGGCATATTTTTTGGTTAACAAGCACGGTTGAAGATGCCCTAATATCTTCACCGGATCACGTAATTAACGCATCAAACATCATGGCTTAATATCTTCAGTTCTTGACGCTCCGAGGATCGTCTAATTAACCGTGTTACCACCTGCATCTCAACCATTGGCGCGTAAGCATTTCGCGCATGGCTTTCCAGTAAACGCACTACAACTAAGGTTATCTGACTTGCTGGTTATCCGGGAAGAAAAGCGCCTGAAACAACAGCATATGCTCTCCTGGCTCCCACATGATATGTAGATTATCTTCCAATTTGTTGACCAGCTTTGCATTTGTGCCTTCTACGAAAAACAACTTTGCATTTGTACCTCCTATAAAATCAACTTATTTTGGGCTCACAATAAATTTGATTCCTTTTTAGCTTTATCGAACAAGAGGAACGACAGCTCAGCAATTTTTTTTTAATATAAACAAGACTAGAGACTAGAGCAGCTCGATCATATCCCAAAAGGGAGAAAGAGATATTAGAAGAAAAGCTATTGCACATATAAATAACAAGAACAGGAAAAAGGTAGGGCTAAAGGTTGCATGATTGCACATCATTTCTTCTTCTTATGAACAGACATAAAGGCCAAGAGAAAAGGGTGTAGAGCTGGCTGGCAATTCTACCCCCGGAATGCAACCTTCTGAAGGCCACTTCACTGTCTACCGCCATCCCTGATGGTCCGGGAGCCATCGGCGCCCACGCCGTTCACCAACCGAGGCGACGCAGGGCTACCGCCTTCGTGTAGGGGTCCTCCTGCATTACCAGCAGGTCGGGTGGCGGAGCGGAGCGACGATGAGGTTGCAGAGGAGATGACCGAGGCAAGGGAGATCGGCATCAGGCAGAGCCCCTTGCCCTGCAGATACTGCATGGCAGTGCCCATGTCCTCCTCCATCAGCCTCGCCACCTGTTGCTCCGTCGCCCGCAAGGTGCTACCACCATTGTCGTCGTCGCCATTGCCGTCGCCGCTGCTGCTGGTCCCGTTTCCATTTCCGCTGCTCTGCAAGGTGGACTCAGATTTTAGCACAGTGGCAATTGAGCAGATGACTCTTATAAAACAGCTGATGATTTCTTCACAGAAAAAAGAGTTAATGATTTTTTTTTTCGAATTCGAGATGGTGGTTGACCTTGTAGTAGCTGGGGTATGTTCAGGAGCTGCCAATTGTCCTTAGTGGGCAGTAGCTCCTATAGGCTAACTGCTTGATTGGTAGTTTGGTATATGGTGGTCACTTTTCAGGCGTGTTTTCCTTTTTTCCCTCCAGTTCTTAAACCAGAAAGATTCTTCTGAACCTTTTTCTGTTGTGCTGGCATCCACTAATGCTTGATCTGTTCCTTAAGCAACGATCCTTTCGATTTGAAAAATGATGTGGTGCAATTTTTATAGGCATACTATTAATTTAGTTGCAGTAGCTCTTTACTGTGACTTTCAGTCCTCCGAATGCCAAATTTAGATTTTTTATACCTAAATTCTACCTCGTGGACTTGAAGAGGGATCCACCCTAGACAGAAATAATCATCTTTTTCATATACAACCAAAAGTTAAGTGAGTCAGAATCAGCACACCAACTTGAAAATGACAGGATTATGAGTATCTATTCGTACCGGACCGATGGTCAAAAGGCTAACATTCCATATACACTTTGTGATCTAACAAACGTAATTAGCGGATTTTAGGGATCAGAACAAGTTGGCCCATGCAAGCAAGCTAGTGTTTGGCTCTAGGCTAACACTTACTAACTATGTACAAGTCGTTGTCAGTGATGTAGGATTCCTCCATAAAACAATCACATATAAGCTTGTCAAAATGGAAGATCATGTCACACAGGTACCTCTGATGACAAGCCAGCAACCAGAGGGCCAACTGCCGCAGCTCCGCCTAATCGGCTCATGCTGAGAACCTGCAAAACTGGGACATCTGATCAGGGACCATGAGTTCCATCAAGGAGCAAGCTGACTAGCAACATTCAGAAACTTAGCGGCTAGCTAGTAGTAACCCGGGCTAGGTGCAGAAAAGCCGAATTATGTACCTTGACTTGAAGCTGGAGGAACTTGACATAATCAATGATCTCGTCGAGCATCGATGCCTTGTCGGTCTGCAACAAAATTCCATCTTGTTATTCCAGTTACAGTGACCTATGTCCGGTCTAGTTCGCATTGTGGCAGCTGCGTCATCTAAGATATGACAACTGATATAAGGTTTTATTCTAAAAAAGCCAAGCAATCGACATTCGTTATCGCTCTAGATACCGTTAACAGTGAATAAAAGTTGTGCAAAGAAAGATATCACATGTGCGATTGGAAGCTCCGGGAGTATCAACCGTGGCAAGAAGCTGGAGACTAGACAACACCCCTGTTCTGTAACCATCACGGAGTCCACGAAAGCGGGATGTCTCAAAGTCTAAACATGTTCATGTTATATGGAACCCCCAATACATCTGTCATTCTCCTCATGATGCTCAATATTGTAGTTCTACGAACCTAGTGTTTAGTGAAATGATCATGAAGCCCCTAATTTAATCTTCATCCCCCCTCAATTTGGTGTCCCCGTTTATCTACAATTGCACTAACTGGTACTAGCTGTGGCCTTGGCCCAAACTGATGGTGTCAATAACAATTCTTATTCCCCTTGGCACCATGCCTGATCTCTCTTTTCCTACCAATCAGAAGTCACTAAATTACTAAGCCAGACCGTCCAACGGACAACCGACATGTCAACCCTATCCCCTGGATTACTTAAGTGTAATTAACCATACAACTCCAACTACCATCCATGCTTTCCAATTCCATAACGCACTTGCTATTTTACAATCACTGATACTACTGCAAAGATATCATGGCATCACACGTTATACTACTAGTATGTATGATACACCAGCTTTACTCTGTCTGCAGCAACCAATAATGCAGGAAACATGGATGCATTTTTCACCAGAATTCAGGGAAGGAAAGCTTTCCTTCCTGCTTTGCTTTGCTCAAAGCAGAGAGCGCAAGAAAAAGGCGAAAGCGGGAGGAGGAAAGGCGGGACGTTTCGCTCACCTTGTTGGCGCTCGGGACCAGCTCCTGCAACGCCTTCATCCTCTCCGCTATCCTCTCCCTCCGCAGCTGCAGAGCAACACATGGAAAAATGTGTGAGGAAAACCGCACGGTTTCATTTCAGGCCCCTCTTGCTGCTGGTGCCAACATTTTGAGCAAAAATGCCAGTAATTTTCGGCAGTGACAGGTCGGAGTGAAGTAAATGGTCCGGTGAATGTGGAGCTCGAGGAGCAGGAAGTCAAGAACAGTAGAAGGTGTAAGACATAATGATTGGGGGAGAAGGGAAGGGTGGTGGCGAGGGTCGCGTACACGCTCGGCGATGCTGTGGGGGTCGGTGGCCTGCCCTCTCCTCGCCCGCTGGCGCTGCCGCGGCGGCGCCGCCGCTCCGCTCTGCGCCGCTGGCGGCGGCATTGAGCCGGCCTTGGATGTACGGGGGGAAAGAAGGGAGAGTTTTGTTAGTGCGGCTGATGAAACTCGGAACAAAGCCAAAGCTGGACGCGCGGCGGTTCTTGGCTCACCTGACCGAACGGCGGCTGAGCGGCGCCGGCGCCATGCATTCCGGCGGCCCCGAACCCGTCGAACAGCGCCTGGTTAGCCCCCTGCAGGTCCTCCCGGGACCGGTCAGTGAACAGCGGCAGGGGCAGGAAGCCCCCGCTGTCGAGGCCGTGGCGGGGGAGCAAGGCCGGCGGCGGCTTGTCGTCCCCTCCGCCGCCGCTGATCTGGTTGTGGCGGAGGCGGGAGGCGAGGAGGGCGGACTCGTCGAACCCAGGGTCGCCGTCGGGCGGGGGCGCGCCGGCCGCCTGGAGCTCCCAGGGGGGCCTGACGGAGCCGAGCTCGGCCCAGGCCGTCGGCAGCGCGGACAGCATCTGCTCGAAGAAGTCGTCCTGCCCCTGCCCCTGCCCCTGCCCGCCGCCGTGCATTTCGCGGCCGGTGGGCTGCATGGGCTGGCTACTTGGTTCGCGGCCTGCGCGGAGGGGAGAGGGGAGGAGGAGGAGGGCGCGACGGTAAAGCCGGCGAGGGAAGGTGGTGGTGGTGGCTGACTGGCTGGGCTGGGTTGACGATTGCAGAGAGCGAGGCGACAAAGTTTATAAGCTCGCAGAGAGAGGGACAGCTCCGACGACTGTCGTCACGGTTATGGATACATGATATTTCTTTTCACTGTGAAACCACGTCTGCGTTTGTTGTAAACTAGTGTAGGAGCAACTTCAACGTGTCGATCCAAACGAATGGTGTTTTTATCTGTTTTTTCTTTATTTGATTGTCCGCTCGCTCTTTTTTTGACTTGGATCGGCAGCGCCCCCAACATGTTAACCCATATTTACCGATGTGGCCGGTCTTTTTAAACAAATATGAACTCATTTTGCATTATTTCACAAGCAGACATATGAAAAATAGTATAGTTTCACACCCAAATAAAAGCAAAGTTTCAAAACCAAATAAATTAACCATAGTTTTACAAGCCGAGTAAAAATTAAATTATCTCAAATACATGTGAAAAGAAGATACATCTATTGGTTGTCAACATGAGCCCACATATGCTCAACCAAATCATTTTGCAGATGAATGTGAATTTTCAAATCGTGCATTTCATGATGAAATTAGGTGAACTGTTCAAACATTGCCGCTCTTCCCTGCTCAGGCACACATTCTCACTCAGAAACTAAAACCCTTGACCGTAGATACATTCCGGACGCTCATCTTCTACGATCATATTGTGCATGATCACACAAATTGTCATCACCTCCCACAGCTTCTTGGTGCTCCATGTCCTAGCAGGATACCGAACGATGCCCCATCAAGATTGCAAAACACCAAAGACACGCTCGACGTCCTTCCTAGCACTCTCTTGCTCTTGGAAAAATCTTTTCCTCTTCTCTCCGACAGGGTTGGGGATTGTCTTCACAATAGTGGTCCACTGAGGATAGATACCTTCACCTAGGTAGTATCATTTGTCGTAGTTGTGGTTGTTGACGGTAACATTCACCGGCGGGCTGTTGCCTTCCGCAAGCCTTGCAAACATCGGCGAGCATTGAAGCATGTTGATATCATTTTGTGATCCAGTCATGCCAAAGAAAGGGTGCCAGATCCAGAGATCTTGTGAGGCAACGACCTCAAGTATGACAGTGCAAGCCCTGACATGGCCCTTATACTGCCCCGCCAAGCAGAAGGGCAGTTCTTCCACTCCCAGTGCATGCAGTCTATGCTGTCAAGCATCCCTGGAAGCCCCTGCCGGCATTCATCGCCAACAAGCAGGCTGTATCTTGAGGAGTCGGCTCTCTCAAGTACACAAGACCAAACACAACAATCATAGCCTTGTAGAACTTGTACATGGAGTCTACGCATGTAGACTCACTCATACGGACGCACTCATCAATGAGATCATCGGGCACTCCGTATGCAAGCATCCGGATGGCTGCAGTGCATTTCTGATAAGATGAGAAGCCAATCTTTTCAAGGGCATCCTCTTTGCGCTCGAAATAGTTATCGTATCCGACCACCCCCTCTCTAATACGGTTGAAAAGATGCCTACTCATACGGAAACGCCACCAGAATTTCTGATGGTTGAACAGTGGGTTGGTTGAGTCAAAGTAGTCCTTCCAAAGAAGGAAACGGCCGCTCTCTCGGTTACGATTCAACACCGGAAGGTGCCCCGGGATCGAGCCACGGAACAACGGCTGCTGGCTATTAAGGTGGTGATGGACCAACACGACAGCCAAGATATCCTCCTCATCATCAGATGAGGAATCGTCAGAGCCGCAAAGGAAATTATGGAAAAAGAACTCGTCAGCGAAGTCCATTTGGTGCCTTGGCAAACTGTCGAATAGTTTGCGGGCGTCAACGAAGAAGTTGGCCTGTGAAAGATCGTGGATGTCGCCTAGAGGGGGGGGGTGAATAGGCGTTTTAAAATAATTATGGTAGAGGCTTGAACAAATGCGGAATAAACCTAGTGGTTAATTTGTCAAGCACAAAACCTACAACAACTAGGCTCACCTATGTGCACCAACAACTTATGCTAAGCAAGATAAGCAACTATGTGATAGCAAGATATATGACAAAGAACAATATGGCTGTCAAAAAGTAAAGTGCATAAGTAAAGGGCTCGGGTAAGAGATAACCGAGGCATGCGGAGACGATGATGTATCCCAAAGTTCACACCCTTGCGGGTGATAATCTCCGTTTGGAACGGTGTGGAGGCACAATACTCCCCAAGAAGCCACTAGGGCCACCGTAATCTTCTCACACCCTCGCACAATGCAAGATGTCGTGATTCCACTAAGGGACCCTTGAGGGCGGTCACCGAACCCGTACAAATGGCGACCCTTGGGGGCGATCACCGAACCCGTACACTTTGACAACCCTTGGGGGCGGTCACCGGTACCCGTCAAATTGCTCAGGGCAATCCCCACAACCTAATTGGAGGCCCCGACGCTTGCCCGGAGCTTTACACCATAATGATTGAGCTCCGAACACCACCAACCGTCTAGGGCGCCAAGGCACCCAAGAGGAACAAGCTCTAGGGCGTCCAAACACCCAAGAGTAACAAGCTCAAGGGTACCAAACACCCAAGAGTAATAAGCTTCTCAACTTGTAACTTCCACGTATCACGTGGAGAACTCAAACCGATGCACCAAATGCAATGGCAAGGGCACACGGTGTGCCCAAATCCTTCTCTCTCAAATCCCACCGAAGCAACTAATGCTAGGGAGGAAGATGAGAGGAAGAACAAGAAGGAGAACACCAAGAACTCTAAGATCTAGATCCAATGGGTTCCCCTCACATAGAGGAGAAAGTGATTGGTGGAAATGTGGATCTAGATCTCCTCTCTCTTTTGCCTCAAAAACTAGCAAGAATCCATGGAGGGATTGAGAGTTAGCAAGCTCGAAGAAGGTCAACAATGGGGAAGAACACGAGCTCAAAGGATAAGGTTCAATGGGGAAGAAGACCCCCTTTTATAGGTGGGGGAAAATCCAACCGTTATGCTCACAGCCCGCATAGAGCAGTACTACCGCTAGGGATCACGGTACTACTGCTTGCGAGCGGTACAAAAAAAATACTTCCATTCCTACCTCTGCAGGACTTGGGACGAGTTTTTTGGTTCGGAGCGGTACTACCGCTGTAGGAGCCGCGGTAGTACCGCTCTGGAGTGGTAGTAAAAAATTACATCCGCTCCAATTCGCGGTAGTACCGCTGCAGCCTTTTCAGAACACCAAAACTGCCACAACTTTTGCAAACGGACTCCGAATTCGATGAAACCAAGTTTGTTGAAAAGCTAGTGACAAGGGCTAACACAATCTTGAAAGAAATATCAATAAGAAGCAAAATAGAAAATGCACATAAGAAAAAGGTGAGAACCCTTCCTCGGATAAGACATGTAAAACCTCCAACACCGAAAACATCATAGAAGACGCATGCGAACTCCGTTTTTGATGAACTAAAGGTTGTCATCAAGATGACCATAAGCTCTAAGACTCACAAAGAGAACCAAAAAAGAACCAAGAAACATGATGCAAGAATGCAATGGTTTGAGCTCTCTACTAACGATATGATCAAGCTACCAACTTGAGAGCCCCCCTTGATAGTACGACAAACGATCCTATAACCCGGTCTTCCAACTACCACCACGAGACCGGTAAAATAGAAAACCTATCAAGGGCAAACCTTTGCCTTGCACATAGTCCACTTGAGCTAGATGATGACGATCTTGACTCCCTCAAGTTGGACCACCTTTCTTGATTGCGTTGGCTCGATGAGGACTAGATGATTGCTCCCTCATAGTCCACTATGGGTGAGCCACTCTTTAGCACATCTTCACACGTCCATTGACACCACAATGGATGGCAAGATTCAAGCACTTGATCTCTTCGTGATGCTCCACTTGAACTTGCACATGGCAATCTTGATGACGATCACCATTTGATGTCATCCTTTCCATGGGTTGTATGATATCTTCCTTTTGACGCAAGCCCATGGACACGTACCTAACCCCACATAGAACTCTCACATAGACCATGGGTTAGTACACAAAGTGCAATGAACAATGCTTACCATACCATGGGACCATTTGATCCCTCTCGGTACATCTTCTACGCTTTGTGAGTTGATCAACTTGATTCACTCTTGACTTAGTCTTGATCAACCTTGAATCTTTGCAACTCTCTTCATTTGGATGATCTCTTGAAGGTAAACATGAATGATCACACAACCTTCTTCTTCAAGACATGCTTGCAATAAGCTCAACACTCACATGACCAATCTTTGGATAATTCCTTAATAGCACCTTGGTCAACTCATAAAATCCTTGAAACCAACACATGGACTTCAAGAAAAGCCTATGGACAAATCCTTCAAATATAACTCAAGACAACCATTAGTCCATAGAGATTGTCATCAACTACCAAAACCAAACATGGGGGCACCGCATGTTCTTTCAGCCTGCGAAGAGATGTGCGCCTCCCTTGGACCAGGTGGCTGGCTTGCCGGCGTCCAACTAGCGTGCCCGTGTTAGGACGAAGGAGCTGGTCGGGGCGGCGAGGCGGCTTCCTGCTCGCAGCGGCGTCGGGGTGTGGGGGTGAGAAGCTTCGGTGCCCCGGAGGCGAGACGGCGGTGGCGGCGCGGTGGCGGCGTTGGGGGGAGGCCTATCAGCACCGGCTGCTGGCAGAGGCACCGACAAATGGGCGGCGGTAACGATGTAGCGGAGGCGAGCGAGGGTTTGTTGTCGATATAGGGTGGGAGAGGATGGCCCATGTGCCACTGACTAGCGGGCCAGGGGTAGGAGTAGGCGGGTGCCGCGCGCGTCCGTCTCATGTCCGCACTGATGCAAATGAGGCTAAAAAATGGGCCAGGAATGGGTTGGCAGGCGGACGAAAAAGGGACATGCGTCCGTTTGGGTCGGCGCATTGGATCGACTTTTCTGTTCGCCGCGACCCAAACGGACGCGCGC